CCCTTACCATACATGTATGCACATATACACTATGCATATATATAAAAATATATACACATCCATTTCAAGAACATATACCATGTATATATTTTCATACACATAATCACATTATGCACATAATTTTCACATATCAGCATGACTAAACGTATCAATTTATCATGCTATCACGTAATCATTTAATCAGATAATCACATATTATTTACCTTGGGTGATAACCAGGATCCGGTTATCACACTATTTATACACTATCGCCCCTACCCAAGCTTACAAGATTCGACCTGAAAGCCTGACATATACCCCCTACTTATGTACTATCACCCCTACCCCTAGAGATGTCATTGTGTTGTAAAATTGGGTCATAAAGTTGCCATGGACTTGTTAAATCGTGTCTGACAACATTAGTCATTAAAGCTTACAAGATTCGACCTGAAAGCTTGACCTATAACCCCTACTTATGTATTATCGCCTCCTACCCCTAGAGCTGTCATTGTGTTGTAAAATCGGGTCATAATGTTGCCATGGACTTGTTAAATCGTGTATGACAATATTTGTCATTAACACTTACAAGATTCGATCTGAAAGCCTGACCTATACCCCGTACTTATGTACTATTGCCCCTACCCTTAAAGTTGTCATTGTGTTGTAAAATCGGGTAATGAAGCTGCCATGGACTTGCTAAATCGTGTTTGACAATATTCGTCATTAAAGCTTACAAGATTCGTCTGAAAATCCTAACCTATACCCCTTAATTATGTACTATCGCCCCCTACCTTTAGATTTGTCATTCTGTTGTCAAATCGTGTCATAAAGTTGCCATGACCAAAGTGTAAATTACTATAGTTCCAGGGACTAACCGTGTCATAATGTTATTCTCTATTCATCCTTATTTAATGGAAGACGTAGGAAGACTTATTACTTGCTATCTTTTCCTATTTTCTCTATAACAATGGATGAAAGCTCTTCCAGTTCTAATTTTAAACATACAAGGACGGACAAGAAGTGGGAGAGGATGGGTGAATAATGGATAACAAGTCAACTATCACTGAAAATGCTTGATTATTCGAGGGAGGATATCAAGAAATACGAACTCAAATTGGTTATACTACTTCAACAACGTGCAGAGCTTGGTTCCAAAAAGAAGAAGATTGAACATGAGATGAACGAGAGAAAAAGATATATTGTTGATTGAAAATAACAGATTAAGCATCAGCAAGGCTGGATTGCTGATACAAAAAAAAAATTAAATACGATGAAAAATTGAACCATGATGCATGGTTCGAACTTGCATGCTGGGAGGCTGGAAGACTGGAAGAAACATTAGGTGGAATGAAGAGGACATTGAAAAATACAAGAGATCGATATAAAGAATTAAAGCACTCTATCCGCATGATAAAATGTTGTTGTATTTCTATTAATTATAGTTGTCAATGTTCCTAGCTCGATTAATTATCGTTGTCAATGTTCCTAGTTCGAACTTTTCTAATTTATTGTACTTAAATGGTGATGATGTAACAAGTAGCCTATATTCCCTATAAATAACCTTGTTTTCCATCATAAACTAGTTACACCATCAAATATTCATTCACTCTCAACTCAATAGGTAAAAAATGGTGAGGTGTTACAACTGTGGTGCTGATACAATAATTCGAACGTCATAGACTAATTACAACCCAGGTCGTCGATTCTTTTGTTGTTTATTACTTGCGAGTGCTTTTCTACATGAAACCTTCACATATAATTGTTTACATATATATATATATATATATATACATATATTCCTTAATTTTTTACAAGGAAGAAATTGTGGATTTATTGATTGGCTTGACCCACCCATGTGCCTTAAATCTATGGTAATTATTCCAGGGTTATTAAGATCAAAAAACAATCTTGAAGCTTCCCTTTTTGAAGTTGTTTTACAAGCTTTCCGGTTGAAGATGATGTTGGTAATAAGTTGGATTTTCTTTTTAGTAATTTTGGTGTTTTTGTTCATCGAAACGATTGTAGGATAGTTTTCATTGACACAATTATTAGTGAGGATAGTTTAACATATCATTTACAATGTCATTTAAACCAAAGATAACTAAGGTATACGTGTTGCATACAAAAGAGATGCCAAACGTTGACAAAATAACATCACATGATGGTCTATCGGCTCCACACATTATACTTCTTCTCCTTGGGACAACTTCTCAACAAACATACAATAGGACACCCCACAATCATCGAGGACTCCAGCCTGTCGAGGCACGTCTTTAGGATAAACTACCCGTAATTTTGGCAATTTGGGTGTCTTCTCGACCCCTATATAATATCCTATCTCCAATAAAAATTCGGGGAGGTACATCTTTATAACCCTTATTAAAGTATTGATATATTTATTGAACATTTTCGAAGGATAAGTATCGTATATGCTCAAATGCCACGACCTCACGTCTAGCTCCCCGGTCACCCAATGAACGTATGGTACGTTTATTGGGATGAATACATGAAAAAATAAGTTGCAAATCAAAATTGTTAAATAAATTGT